TATATTACTGATTTTTTCAATTTCTTTTTTTGGAAGTTTATTCCACCTATCTATGACTCTATGTGAAAAGAAATGATTATTTTTGGCTTGCTTTTTGAATAGCTGATATTTATGTAAGCGCGGATTAATTCTATTAGGTTTTGAAAATATTTTTTCTGGATTTATTTTATAGAAACCCATGATTATTTTGTAGGTTGTCATAAGATCAGTTTTTATACGACGGAGATTGGAGGGAAGGAGTTTGCATCTTTTTAGTCTTTCGTTATATTCTATTTTCTGGTATTTGTATTTATATCTTAAAATTCTCCTTGTAAAGCTTTTTTGTGGTCTTTCTAATTGTTTATTAAGATATTCTAATTTGGGGCTAAAATTTTCGGTGGAATACTCCATAATGGGTCTTACGTATGTTTTGAATGCTTTTACATATGTTTCTATTGGTAATGTTTTTGGTAATATTCTTAGGATATTGTTTATTCTTATAAATGAGGATTTGGTAATTTTTGATATATGATGATCAAACTTTAGCTTGTTATCTATGTATATACCTAGATCTCTTATGTTATTAACCTCTTCGATTTTTTTACCATTTATCTCATAATTAAACCTAATTTTATTGTATATTTTTAAAACCTTTACTTTTGCTATAGAGAATTTAAGTTGATTCATTTCTGACCATTTACATGCATTGTCTATAGCCCCCTGTAACTCTATACAGTTCTTTTCCGTCTTAATTTCTGAATAAATCTTAAAATCGTCCGCATAAAGTTTTACTTTAACATTTTGTGGAATATATTTTGGAAGGTCATTTATATAAATTAAGAAAAGTAATGGACCTAAGACTGTCCCTTGTGGGACTCCTGTTTTTGGGATAAATGGTTCGGAAAAATGTTCTTCTATTTTTACACTATGTGATCGATTTGAGAGAAAATTCGCAACCCATTGAATTATTAACCTATCTATTTTTAATTCTTTCATTTTTCTAATAAGTATTTCGTGGTTTACTTTATCAAAGGCTTTCTCAAAGTCAAAATATATAACATCTGTACCTATTTTCCTGTCAAGTGAACTATACCAGTCTTGCATCGATGATAAGATTTGAATTGTACAAGAGCTTTTCGGTAAAAATCCAAATTGCTCTTCTGCGATTAATTTTTGTTTGTTAAGGTGTTCTAAGATATTATTTGCTATAATACGCTCAAAAACTCTACAAGTCGGGGATGTTAAAGCAATTGGTCTGTAATTTTTTGGGTCGTTTACCGAACCCTTCTTTTTAAATATCGGTAGAATGTGAGCTGTTTTCCATAATTCAGGGACTATTCCTGTTTTAAATGTATTTTTATATAAAATTGAGAGAGGGAGAGCTAAGGGGGTAGCACATTTTTTTAGGAAATATTGGTTGATATTCTCGGGACTATGGGATAATTTATTTGGGAGCTTTTTTAGTAGTTTTTCTATTATATATGGTTCAAAAGTTATTTCTTCTTGATATTCGTCCTCAGCTACGAGGCTTGCTTGTATATTGTTTTTACCTCCACTAACTATTTCTTCAAAAATATTTCTAAATTTATTTGCTTTGTCTGTGTCGGATATTATGGGGTCGCCTTCCTCAGATTCCTTAAGTATAGGTATACCAGAGAAGTTAAATCGATTTCTTTTCATTAATTTATGTATTTCCCCTATGTGTCCAGATCCTATTTTTTTCGATAGATAGTTGTTTTTATATTTTCCTATTTGTAATTTACATTTAATTTCAAGACTTTTATAATTCTCTTTACTAATTTCCCCTAATTTTAGCTTTTTCCATGCATCAGCTTTTTGTTTGATTATTTCTCTAATCTCTTTAGGGTATTTCATGGGTGTTTTCTCACCAAATTTTTTAATAGGGATGAATTTTTGAATTACTTGGGTTATTATTGAATTCAGTATTTCGGCCATTTCTGAGGGGTTTTTTTTATTAAGTATATTGTTCCAGTTATATTGAGCTAGGTACCAATTTATTGTTTTATATTTCCCTTTCTTAAATAAAAATACGTTTCTTTTCTTTTTAGATGTTATTTTTTCGAATGGAAAAATTAATTCAAATACTATCGGTTTGTGGTCACTCAAAACCAAATTTTCTATAATTTCGTATTTTTCTATTAATTGGTTATTTTGTAAGATAAGGTCTAGTGTATGTGAAGTATTATACATGGTTGCCTCTTTTATTATCTGATTTAAATTTAGCTTGTTCATGGTATTGTAGAAATATAAGTTTTGATTATCTTTCTGAAGTGTAAAATCCTGCCAATTTATTTTGGGAAGGTTAAAATCCCCTAATATAATATTTGATAGATCATTTTTATATTTTTTCTTTATTAATTCCCAAAATTTTTTATCATCAACTAATTTTGTATTTGGCGGCCTATATATTAAATGGAATCTAATTCTTTTAAATTCTGAGTATATATCAAGGGTAAGGAGTTCGTAATTGTATTCGGATATTGAAAGAGTCGGAATATTAATAATTTTTATATCCTTTTTATAAATTACGCCTACGCCGCCGCCTCTTCTTTTTAACCTATCTACTCTCATAAAGTCAAAGCTATCAGAAATGAGAAGGGATTCGTTTGATATATGATCAGTTAGCCATGTCTCACATAAAAAAGCTACATGAATATTATTTTTTATTAAATAACTTTCTAATTCAAATAATTTATTTGCGGCCTTTTCTGAATTAATGGAGCGTATATTCAAGAGTAAGCAATTTAATTTTTTAATTTTTTCCTTATTTTTCTGATTGATTATCTGTGAGGTCCCTATATCCTAATCCATGTTCACTGACTTTTTATAATGAATTTTAAGATTACGATAGCAGGCTGTACCATTTCCGTGTTTTTCATTAATTTCCTTGACTTGTTTTTTAAGGTAATTTTGAAGTTGCAGCTCTGGAGGAGTTAAGTCCCTTCTCGCGAAGGGGCTATGTCCGCCCAGTATTGGTTGATGTAATAATCTATATTGATTAATAAATGATTGTGCAGCTGAAGGTGTAGTAAATTTAACTTTTATGATGCGGTGATAATTGTTGTGCTTCTTGATTCCGTGTCTTTTTACCTCAAAAGTTTTAGCTTCCTTAAAATTTTTGTTATTGATCACAATTTGAACGTTTCTTTCTATATTTTTTATATCTTCTTGTTCATTTTCCATTTCTGGAAATCTTTCTATAACAGCATAATAACTCTTCTTATTATAAAGTTCCTTTAAATTTTCATCGAATTTTGGTTGTTGAAGTTGTTCAATTAATGTTGCAGCTTGAAGGATTTTTGGAGGCATTAGATTAGGTGGGCACCCCCAGCGAGAGATCGGTTGTTTTGGTTCGGATAGAAGCTGGTTGTTGTTGTTTATTTGACTTGATTGTTGAAATTGCTCAAATAATGTTTTAATAGTTGTTTCAATTATTGGTTTTAGGAGTTGTACAACATTTAAGGAGATTTGTTCAATTTGTTCGGTCGATAAAATCGGAATTTTATCACTTTCACTATCCCCACTAATCGATGTGCAGGCCCACTGCTGTGGGTCATCATCGAGTTTTGGGTCAATTTTTCTGTAATTAATCTTCTACCCTTTTTTTATAATTATTATAAAATTGTAAAATTAGTAAACGATCCACTCTACCTCCACTCCACCTTTCCAGAATTGTAATAGGTATTTTATATCTTCTGGAATTGCTTTTCTCCTTCCAATATTTAATATTTAATATATTTATTAATAATATTAAATTTTTAAATATTTTTTTTAATTTTGGAATTTTAAGGGCCAAATGAGATCAATTTAAATAAATATATTTTTTTTATTAATTTATGTTTAATATTGCAGCTAAACTTTTAGCTTCTTGATCTTCCGGTCGCAAACTTGTAGCAAAGTGTGCATCTAGACGGGCATTTGACATATTTCTTTAAATTAAAAAGGAAATTTTTTTGATTTTAATTTATTAAAAAATTTCAGAAATTTTTTAAAATTCCAAAAAAAATTTTCTGAACACACCTAGCATCAAAATGGCATTTTGCCCTAAGCAGGTGTAAATCAAACAGCCTTTGTTGTTGACATTTTAATTTAATATTCTCTGTTGTATTTAAATTATCAAATTCAACATCTTCTTCATCTGAAGAGAGAATTGAAGTGCTTTCTTCATTAATACCTTAATTTATTTTTAATTTTATTTTTTTAAATTTATTTGGGTAGAAGATTAGAGTGTCAGGAATTTAGGTAGTTAATTACAGCACTTTTCTAATGGGGTCTGTATTTTCCGGAATTGTATTTCTTTAATTTTAACTCTAATTTGTATTTTTGTATTTTCCGGAATTTTTGGTGTTTTCCGGAATTTCTTTGTATTTTCCGGAATTTTTGGTATTTTCCGGAATTTCGTTGTATTTTCCGAAATTGTTTTAATAATTACAATTTTTTTCTTTGTATTTTCCGGAAATACAAGTTCCGTTTTCGGTATATAATTCATTTATAATTTGTATTTTTATATTTTCCGAAATTTAATTTTATATTTCTAAATAATACAATTCGTTTCCTCGTATTTTTCCATATTTTTATATTTTCCGGAATTTTTGGTATTTTCCGGAATTGTTTTAATAATTACAATTCTTTTCATTGTATTTTCCGGAAATAAAAGTTCCGTTTTCCGTATATATAATTAATTTATAATTTCCATTTTTATATTTCCGGAATTGTATTTTTATATAATAGAAAATACAATTCGTTTCCTTGTATTTTCCGTATTTTTTGTATTTTCCGGAATTACAAAGTTATATTAGTAAAGCAGCTGGGCTATAGCTATTTCTCTCCTTTAGCTAGTGCAAAAGGTTATTCGGCGGCTGGGAGCGAACCAGCATCTTCAGTAGACCGGACTGATGTGTTAGCCATTACACCACGCCGCCTACTGCACAGCCTTAGGAATTAAATAGCTATATGCTTTACATATTTCTCCTCTCCGGAATTCTAATAAACCCTAATTTTTATTCACCTTTTTTATTAATAATTTCTATCGCCTCACTAATTAAATTTATTGCTTCTTCTATTCTATTAGCTTTTCTTTTCAAAGCTGCCATTGAATGCAATGTATGAATCTATTAATAAAATATTTTTTAAATTAACTAAAATATTTACCTTAAATTTTTTAACATGACTTTGAATAATATTAAATTCAGTTTCTTTTTCTTTCCAATATTTTTCTTCTTCCTCCTCTCCCCCCTCATTTAAATTTTCTTTTTTTAAATATTTTTCTCCAAATTTTTCAATTTCCCCAAATTTTTGTAAGGCATAAGTAAATCTATGTTCCGCCTCAATATTTCTTCTTCTTCTCAATAAAAATTGGGCATCTTCCAATAATTTTCTTAAAAGCATTAATACAAGGGGAGGGTGTGTTTCGAAGGCTATTTGCCATGTTAGCGAACGAAGTCTGGCACCGCGACGTAGAAAGATATCGACAGCTTGGAGTTGAGCATTTTGGATGGCTACCTTGAATATTATTTGGGGATTTTAGTATATATAACAATCTCGAAGGAATTGAAGAAATAGTTCTCTTACATTTCGTTAAAGCCATTTTAGTGTGAATCCTATGAATGGTTCTTGGAAATTATCAGGTATTCGGGAATGAATAGAAGAACTGAGCCAAAAATTTTTAATTAAATTGAGAGGTTACAGAGGTTGCATTATAAATACAAGTTTAAATGGACACACTATCACCGCGAGACGGATGTTTTTGAGGTAGTGTTTTGTTGGATCAAAAATTAAGTTGGAACCTTCCAACAACCAGAGCTATAATTGAAATCCCTAAGTTCCGAAGAATAGACCCCTAAGGTTCCTCGTAATCGTCAAGAAAATTAGACTGACGGGTTTGTAAGAGAATTTTAACTTTAGATTAAAAATTCGATTTAAAAAATTCACCTCAATAGGTCTTAATCCTTTTCCGTTTCTTCCCTCCAAAGAAATACCCATTTCCAACAATTGACCAATCAAACCACGATTTGGCTTTTTTGCCAATATATGCAATAATGTATTCTCGGTAAAGTCAGCAATACAAGGGTTACAACCTTTTTCTAATAGAAGCCCTGCTGTCGAAAAATGGCCATCTTCCAAAGCATGGAAAATAGCTGAGCGGCCTTGATTGTCTGTCTTATCCAAGTTGGCTCCTTTAAATTCAAATTTTACAGAATTTGGAAAATAGTCAGTGTTAAACAAAAATTTAATTATCTGGCAGATTGAGCAGTATTAACTGTAATAGGACACTGATCGGTATCTCTCATTCATCCTCATTCACCACGTTTCAATGCTCTAGCTATTCAGCTACCACAATGATGCTTTCTTACGTATAACTAGCAAATTTTAGACAAGGGACCGGATTGGGAGTATTGTACGGTAATTAGATAGTGTTGAAAATACCGTAAATACTCTAATAGAAGCCCACCTCTCGTAGAAATCCACCTCTAGTATAAGCCCATCCGAGGTGGCCCATTGAGACATACAAGCCCAGGGCTTCTATTAGAGTAATTAGGGTATATGTAGATCTAGATAACTGAGATTTTTGTTTGAGATCTTGTCTTAGTCCGGTCTCTATCTTATACACACGCAGGGTAAATAATATACTAACGGGGTAATAATATTGTTATCCTTTCTACTCACCTCTACTAACCAGCAAATCCACCAAACCAACTCTCCCTTGCCTCGCTGCAGTTATAAGAGGAGTAAAACCTTCAGGGCCTTCATGTTCGTTTAATATCGAATTTCCCTCATTATTTAATATTTTTACAACCAAATCTAAGCATCCACACTCAACAGCACAATTTAAGGCTAACCGCCCCTTCCATGACGAATTACCATTTCGAGGTGGCTGAATGCCTCGGGAGAGAAATAGTTGGATTAATTCGGAATGAGAATTTATACAAGCTGTGGATAACGCTCTGAAAAAAAATTTTATTTTGATTTTTGAAATATAAAATTACCCAGAAGTGTCTAAAATAGAATTCTCATGATTTTTATCGTACTCCAAAAACAGGTTACATATGCTTGTTAATCCTCTTTCAGTTGCAGCTTGGAATGCTTCGTCGATTGCGATACTGAATTTTTTTCGAAATTTAGATGATTTAGTTAGATAATAATAAACAGAAGAGCAGTGAAGGGAAAGTTCGAGTCCGGAACAGGAACCGAAAAAATTCAGAGAGCAGTTCCAGAACTGGACTTGGAACTGGTTAAATTCAAAAAGCATTTCAGAACTGGAACCGGTTCTGAAAAAATTTTGGAACTTTCCCATCACTGCAGAAGAGATTCTTTCTATTAGGGATTTTGACAGGTTTTGGTCTCGGACTTTGATTTTTTTGAAACTAGATGCAAAATAGGGGAATTTTCATTTGTGTCTACCAAGGCTGAGTATGGTCCAGGGAGATTATTCAGGTTTGAGCAGAACCAGAACTAAGCCTTTAAGATCCTGTAGCCAACGCATAAAATGCCCAATATTATCCTGTTATTACCTTTTATTCGCACTTCCATCATTTTGGGTAGATTTAAACAATTTAATTTCTTCAGTATTATCAAAAGAAAAGGTAGAAGATGAGGAAGACTGAGGAAAAATTTTTGTAGAATTCAATAATTCATGAGGTTCTGAATTTAAAAAATTGAAAAAAAATTTCTAAAAATTTCTAAAAATTTTTTTTTAATTTTCTAAATTCAAAAATCTCTTGCCTTCTATCACTTTCCCAGTAGAATTTAACAAAACAGAAATAATATCACAAGAATAATTATCTTTAACACAATAAAGTAAAAGACTGTCTCCATCAGAATTTAATTTATTAAAAGGATCAGCACCAAAATTACATAATATTTTTATTAGTTCTAAGTTTTTTTGTTGTAACGCTATTAATAAGGGTAGTGGATTTCCAAAGTTAGGATTAGCACCGAATTTTAGAAGAAGCTTAATCTAAAATTAAAAAACATTAGGTGAGGGGAAGTAAGGTTGAATTTTGAATTACTCCCTAGTATTTTAAGTTAGGGCTTCCGGTTTTTAAGTAGGACGACTCATTCTTGATTGAGGGTAAATCTATATTGAAACGAACGATGGGCCGGGTTGAGGGATAGAATCGAATCGGTTTTTCAACGATTTTTTCAATGATTTTCAATGGTTTTTCAATGTCCAAAAAATCTCGCTTCGAATGTATGATCAGGATATATGGGGATAAGGATCAGGATTTTGATCATGATACTGATCAGGATATCAGGATCAGCCTTTTTTCTCCTCAATTTCAGAATTTTTATTAAATTCTTCATTTAGTTCCTCCTCTGTTGTCAACTTTAACCATTTAATTTGGTTGGATTTCGGTCAAGAACCCGACGCATTATTTTTTAATTAAGCCCTAAGATGGGGAACTAATCGAGGATGAATATTATAAACAATTTTGTTCTTATAATTTTAGAAAATTAAGAGACCATTTCAACATTCCCTGAACATGAGAATGCACTTAAAAGAGGTTCACTCTCTCCATTAGACCATTGATGAGCATTTGGATTTGCACCCGCTAGCAATAAAAGTTTTGAAATTTTAGAATTTGTATAAAAAATATTTGGACGGTGAAGAAGGGCATTTTCCATTAGTTTTGAACTTTTATCTTCTCCTTCCTTATTCTCCTTAATTTCCACATTTTTATTAATTTCTTCATTTCCTTCCTCCTCTGTTGCCAGCTTTAACCACTTAATTTGAGCATCTCTCCCCCAAGGCATTTTCAGCCCAATTTTTGAATTAACCAATTCTGGTTGCGCGTATTTATGTGGATTTGCTTTTAGTAAATGATGGGCTAATTCGAATAGTTGTTCTGATGAAGCTTTTTGAGTATCTCTTCGGGTACTAGTAACTATCCAGAGTGCGATAAGAATATGTCCATTCCTATGGTGAATAAGGGTAATTAAATATAAAAATCAGAATTTAAAAAATCAGAATTATAGAAAAATTCAGTTGATATTAAAATACAAAAATCAGAATTATTTGTTAAAACAACAAAAACACAAAATCAGAATAGAATAAAAACAAAATACAAAAACCAGAATTAGTTGAAAAATCAAAAATACAAAAATACAAAAATCAGAATTACCTAAAAAAACAAAAACACAAAATCAGAATTAAAGTTGGAAAAACAAAAACACAAAATCAGAATAATTTATTAAAATAACTAAGACACATTTTGAACAATCAGAATTAAAAAATATAATAATTCTGATTTCAGAATAAGTAAAAACACAAAACCAGAATAGAATAAAAACAAAATACAAAACCAGAATTAGTTGGAAAAACAAAAATACAAAAATCAGAATTAGTTGAAAAAACAAAAATACAAAAACCAGAATAATTTATTAAAATAACTAAAATACATTTTGCACAATCAGAATTAAAAAAAAACACAATAATTCTGATTTCAGAATAAGTAAAAACACAAAACCAGAATAGAATAAAACAAAATACAAAAACCAGAATTTGTTAAAACAACAAAAACACAAAAATCAGAATTAGTTGAAAAAACAAAAATACAAAAACCAGAATAATTTATTAAAATAACTAAAATACATTTTGCACAATCAGAATTAAAAAAAAACACAATAATTCTGATTTTAGAATAAGTAAAAACACAAAACCAGAATAGAATAAAAACAAAATAAAAACCAGAATAAGTTGAAAAACAAAAATACAAAAATCAGAATTAGTAAAAATACAAAAATCAGAATTAGTTGAAAAAACAAAAATACAAAACCAGAATAAATAAAAATAAAAATACAAAAATCAGAATTATTTAAAACAACTAAAACACAAAATCAGAATTCTTGTACAAAATAAACAAATAATAGTGAATTTCAGAACAAATAAAAACACAAATAATTCTGATATTTTTATTAATTACCTTATATCAATAGAATATTCAGTATTATTTCCATCCCCCAAGAGCCATTCACGCAGTGAAGAATGCATTGGAACGATTTGTTTATTTAAAGGGTTTATTCCAATTAAAGGCCAGAGGGACGTTATCCTTTCAGTTAAAGATTCTATATTTTCCAAATTAATTGAATCAGAGGATATATTGAGGATATTGGAAAGTTGTTCAATTGATAATGGATTAAGTGAAGCAATAAGGACGCTAAGTATGGGTGAAAGATTTGAGCGAAAATTTGCTGGAGATCTGAAGAAAATTTTAATTGTATTTTTATGTATTTCATGTATTTTGTATTTTTTGTATTTTCTGTATTTTTTTGTATTTTTCTTGTATTTTTGTATTTTTTCTGTATTTTTTTGTATTTTTTGTATTTTTTATATTTTTTGTATTTTCTTTGTATTTTTAGTATTTTTTATCATTATTAATTTAATAAACTAACGAAAATTTATGCCGAAAGTACAATTCATAAATCTGTGACAGATTAGCATCATCTGAAAGACTTGCAAACGAAAGTCGCCCTTCCGCTAATAAATCAACTGTCAGATGGATACTTAAAAAGTTTGCATGGACACGATTAACCAAATTAATAACAAATTTGGAGAATAAAATTTTATTAGAATTGGTATCGTTGTCTTTAATTTGTTGTTGTGATTGAGTGAAATCTTCAACTGTAGCGAAAAAGCTGTGACGTCGAAATTGGGAAGTTAGTCTCTTCTCTAGCTTAAAAATATGAGATATAAGGAGATTTTTGATTCTTAATTTTGGTAGAGTTAGAAGACCAGGGATGGTTCGGGTTGAGAAAAATTCGGGTTTCGGTAATCCACCCATCACTGTTATAGACAAAAGGTAAATCAGAATTCTAATTCCCGCCGCTACCAGCTAACAAATATTATATTTCCAGTAAAGATTGCCCAACTGACCGTAGAATTCAAATTCATAATCGTCTCCACAAAAATCTTTGCATCCTCAACAGAATTATTTTCATCTATTTGTATAACCCTAAAATTATTTTCCAGCTCTTTTCCCTTCAAATCAACTCCAAAAATATTCAAATAATCATTTTTGGTTGAATTTTCACTAGTTGATGTTGTACACACAAATCTCAAATTTTCTGGCCATTCATTTATAGAACGTCCTAATAAACTAGCAATAGACTCGTTTCCATCAGTTTGGTGGAAATTAGCTTCATCTAGTCCATCAACGAGTATTAAAATAAATTGGGGAATTTTTTCTTTTTGTTGTTGATGATGATAGGGGTTGGTAGATGGATAATCAGTGGTGCTTCCTATAAAATTTGAATGATTGAGAGAATTTTTAAAATTAATCAGGCTTCCCTCCTCAGGCTTCCCTCCAGGATAACTTAGTGCGAAGTCATCTTCCACCTTCAGCCTACCTACTAAACGAAGGTTCCCTCCAGCCTATTTACTAATGAGATGGTTACCTCCAATTCTGTCTACAAGACATAGTTCCCACCAACTTCTTGCTTACTTATGCTACAGGCTTCATACTAGTGCTAAGGGGCTTTTCAACTTATCTACTAATGCGAAGGGAACGTTTCTTCCAGTCTGGACATGTTTCCCCTCCCACCCGCCTAAGGAACACATTCTCTCTATGTTCCCTCTCTATGTTCCATTCAGCCCACATTCTAGTACTCACTCAAAAATTTTCTAAAAAAATTTCACCACAATTACTGCCATAACAACTTCCAATACTAGAAGAAGAAGAATCATGCCACTTTGAAGATTTATCTTCCTTTACATTTTTATCATCAATTTTCTTCATATTTTCGTTACTATAAATTTGATTGATAGGCTCCAAAATTAATTTACGTAGTAAATCAAGAGAGGAATATTTTAGTGAAGCACATGGGTCGATAGCAAGTTGATGGAGTGTTGGATTTGACCTTATCTATTGTTTAAATTTTTTAATTCTTAAATTTTATTTATTTAAATTAAGACAAATATGTATGTACACATTAATTTAATGCCTTTAAAATTTTTAAATAACTGGTCATTCTGGTACTTTGTTAGGGGGTATTCTGGAAAGGGGGGGGAGTCTCTGGGAAGTCTTTGAGACTTCTCAGAAAATTTTTCGATTCAGTTCCGGGTTTTCAAGATTTTCCAAGGACCAACAACTCTTGTGACTGGTAGTAGGAGACCTTAACATACCTTCTAACTAAGATAACCCTTATCAACATCCCGCATCACTTTTTAGCCCTAGGACGAATCTTAAAGGTAAATCCGACCATATTTTTAATTTTAAATTAAAATTTTTTTACCATTTTTCCATAACTTTTCTTTAATTGAGGACAATCACAAAATTGCGCACATATAGAGCGAATAAACTCAGGAATAGAACAACTTTAAATTAAAATAAATTTAATTTAAAATTAAATTTATTTGCCTTTTAAAATCGTGTAGGTGAGCAAAATGAAAGGCACAAATATTCTGACCAAAGAAATAAAAATCAGAATTATCAGAATTTTTAAAATCAGAAGTATTAAAATCAGAATTATTGAAACCCTCTTCATTCAAAGACGTTTGCGAGCCTAAAGGTGAAGGATTTGTGCTTATAGCTGATACAACAACTATTCCGGAATCGACAGTGTTGTTTTGTTGTTCTTGCTGTGATTCTTGTTCTAGTTGGGTTGAACTTGAAGTTTTCCTTCCTTTCTTCCCAAAATATGAATTCTCTATTAAATAACGAATTATTGCACTCTTCCCACTCCCTGAAGCTCCCACTAGCAGTACAACTTTAACTTTTTCTTCCTTCAAAATTTTTTCCAATTTATTAAATATCCACTTCCTTCCAACAAATTTATTTTGATTTTTGTCGTTTTCAATGCTCAAGGTTGAGAAAAATAATTCTTGTTCAAAATTAAAAATTAGGGGAGGCTGGTCAAAGAGGGGGAGGTTGTTCTCTTTGGGGAAGTTGTTCTCCTCCTTTATATTTTCATCCTTCCCCTCCTCCCTCATCTCCTTATTCAGCTTCATTTTACTTCTATTCTCAACTTCAACTTGTCGTTTAATATGCCTTTCCATTAATTTTACTATATCCCTTCCATAATAACAAGCATTCCATTGTTTAAATCTCTCGTCCTTTTCAAATTCACAATCGGCACTTTTTTCTCGATTACTTCTAGATCTCTGGGGTCGTTGATGTTTTTCTAGAGGTGGGGCTGTTTCTGAGGGTGAGTTGGCGGCGGCTGAACGGCGACGCTGCAAAAGTTGAGTTCGAGGAAAACGAATAATGTTAGCATTGGAAGATGAAGCATTCTGGAAGTTAAAATATAGTTGCGGAAAGTAAACGGAATTATAGAGGTATTATTAGATTTTTCTGCTCCGGTAAACTCTATTATTAAAGAAGATCCATCAGAATATTAATCCGGAAATAATTAAATATTTCCGGAAATAATTATAAATATCCGGAAAATACATATAGTTCCAAGAAATGATGTACTATATTTGTTTCCGGAAATATTTAGTTACCTAAATTGTTTTCCGGAAAATTATTTATAATAATTTCCGGCAATAATTAAATATTTCCGGAAAATACATAAATATGTATTTCCGGAAAATTATTTATACTTATTTCCGGAAACAATTAAATATTTCCGAAAAATACATAATTCGAAAATGATGTATATATTTGTTTCCGGAAATAAGCAGTTAAATTAATTTCCGAAAATAATTAAATTTTCCGGAAACAAATTAGATTGAACATCCGTTCCGGAAAATATTAAATATTTGCGGAAAAAATTAATTCTTGATATATCTAACCAAACCCGAATATATTTTTCCGGATAAAAAATACATTCTAAAAGCGCCCAAATTAATACCTGTGTTTGTATTTGAGTCGCAGGAAAGTTATAATTATGATTAACTACATATGGAGTAGCATAACGAATTTGTTGTTGCTGTACATTATTGCAACCATTAATATTTAACAACGTTATTGCTGAATAACTAGGTGATTTAGGCGCTAATTGGAAATTTTCTTCTTTTTCCGGATTTATTTGCGGGGAGATAAGTGGAAGGTTTTGAGGCCTCTGGCAGCGGTATTGAGTTTGGGGAATTGGAGGAATTGAAGGTAGTGGCTGAGAAGGATTGGGTAGAAAATTGTTGGGTTGTTGATAATGATTATGATAGTGGTTATTACGCCAACTTAAAAATATTTTTTAATCAAAATATCCTCCCAAAGCTTACCAAGCAGCGTATATTTCCCCATCGGGTGCATAGCGTGTACTAGGCAACATGTTATAACAATTTAAGTTTTGTTGAGGATTTGCATTTTTAATATTACTTTCTTTATGATTATAGCAGTGTTTAATATTATTAATAGGAGGATTAGGCAATTCAACGTTATTACTTTTGGTGATCAACGGATCATGCTGGATAAAAAATAAAATTAATTTAATATTATCTACATCCGAAAATTAATATATTTTCCGGAAAATGAATTAAATTATTTCCGGAAGGTAAAATTATTTCCGGAAAATATTGTAAATATTCTCCGGAAAATAAATGTATTTTCCGGAAAATCAATTAAAGTATTTTTTCCGGAAAATATATTAATTTCCGGAAACTAAAATAATTTCCGGAAAATAAATGAATATTTTCCGGAACTTAATGTATTTTCCGGAATATAAATTAATATATTTTCCGGAAAATATATTAATTTCCGAAAATACATTAATTCATTTCCGGAAATAAATTACTTCAGGAAAGTAAATTACTAATTTCCGGAAAATACATAATTTGAAAATACAAAATACAACTTACGAATGACGGAATCTTGCTTCGTATCTTATTAGTTTTTCCATTTTTAGATTGTTTCTGGCTTTGATTGTAAATTTCACTAAATTTATTATCAATCCCAATTACTGTATCTCCTTTCATTTTGAATGCTTTCTCTACATTTTTCTCCATTAATTGAGAATTTTGTAAGGAAGAATCAGTTGTTGAAGGTAATCGACAGCTTCCTCCAATTTGATTTTTGTTGGTAATTTTAGCCATTATTGATAAAAATTCGTCCAAGTCATTGTTTTCGCCAGGATTAATTTGAGAATATTGGTCAATATCCTGATAAATAATTTTAGTTATAAATTGATGGGTTCCGGAAATTACTTCCAAAGATCAATATATTTTCCGGAAAATATATAAAATTATTTCCGGAAATTATATTTATTTCCGGAAAAATGAATGTTTTCCGGAAATTAATGTATGCAAAACCTCCATTTTCCGGAAAAAATATACCTAAATTATTTCCGGAAAATAGACTTCAAATTCAAATATATTTTTCCGGAAAACACAAAGTATTTTAATTATGTATTTTATTGCTTAATATGTACATATGAAGGAATGTTATTATTTTCCGGAAGGTTATTAAAACATTTCCAGACTTTGTTTTACCTGCTTAGTTTTGTTAGTTTCAATTTGGGTTTTCCATTTAATTTTTGACTGGTCCCTAAAATTCCCTTGTTTATCGCTAAAAGAATTATTGGCAGAATTATTATCTTCCTCGCTAGGCCTCTCAAAGTTCCAATTAGTAAAATCCTCTCCTCTTCCCAAAACTAAAATTTTAAAAAATAATTTTTATTCGAACATTAAAACCACCTTTTTTAGACCGACTAAGTCTAGGGGTCGCTGGCAGTCGAAAAAGGCGACTTTTGAACGGATTTATTTGTCTAAGAGAGCGGCGTAGACTGTTTAACGGCCCTCCCTCATTATTTTGTTGTTTATTTCCGTTAATTATTCCCCCATTGGAAGTTGACCCAAATGAGTTGGAGGAAGAAGAGGAGGACGCAAAAAATGCAAAACCTCCATTTTTTGGGCCGTAACGGTGTTCGGATTGTTCGTCTCTCGGCATAAGTAGGGAATGTCGTCGAATAGAAAATGGCTTTTTATCCATTTTTAAAATATTTCTAGGAAGGTACGTTAGAAAATAGGTAGAATAGACAAAAATTAAGAGTAAAATCCATTAAAAAAATTTTTTGTAAATTTTTTAAGTCTAGTTATTATGAAATATGAGCGGCAAAATTAAAAGCATGCCTTTTTAAATGGATTTTATTTATTTTTTAATTTTTTAAATATTTTTTACGGAAACCACATACCGTATTTCCTCAAATAGTACGGCCGGCCGTACTATTTTTCAACCCTCTTCCAAAGGGCCGTACTATTTGAGGGGGCCGTACTAATTGAGGGGGCCGTACTATATTTCAACCATCCTTCGAAATTATCTGAGATCTCCAACAAGCCTTATCTCAGTTTTTAATTTGTAATCTTTGCAATTCGGTTAAATTTAACCCTCTTTAATCTTCTTCCGTTCTCTATTCCTATACCAAAATATCCCAGAATCCAGACTCATGCACTTAGTTGTTATGAATTATCAATGGATTTGATGAGATTTAGGAGAGATATCGAGGAATTTCCCTGAGATCCATCCAAATCCTCGGATATTTCTTCTAATCCCGCTTAATCCATCAAATTCCCTCGATATCATTCCGTACTATATTTCAATTCCGTACTATATTCATTCCGTACTATATATCAACTATTTTTCAACCCTCTTCCAAAGGGCCGTACTATTTGAGGGGGCCGTACTAATTGAGGGGGCCGTACTATATTTCAACCATCCTTCGAAATTATCTGAGATCTCCAACAAGCCTTATCTCAGTTTTTAATTTGTAATCTTTGCAATTCGGTTAAATTTAACCCTCTTTAATCTTCTTCCGTTCTCTATTCCTATACCAAAATATCCCAGAATCCAGACTCATGCACTTAGTTGTTATGAATTATCAATGGATTTGATGAGATTTAGGAGAGATATCGAGGAATTTCCCTGAGATCCATCCAAATCCTCGGATATTTCTTCTAATCCCGCTTAATCCATCAAATTCCCTCGATATCATTCCGTACTATATTTCAATTCCGTACTATATTCATTCCGTACTATATATCAACTATTTTTCAACCCTCTTCCAAAGGGCCGTACTATTTGAGGGGGCCGTACTAATTGAGGGGGCCGTACTATATTTCAACCATCCTTCGAAATTATCTGAGATCTCCAACAAGCCTTATCTCAGTTTTTAATTTGTAATCTTTGCAATTCGGTTAAATTTAACCCTCTTTAATCTTCTTCCGTTCTCTATTCCTATACCAAAATATCCCAGAATCCAGACTCATGCACTTAGTTGTTATGAATTATCAATGGATTTGATGAGATTTAGGAGAGATATCGAGGAATTTCCCTGAGATCCATCCAAATCCTCGGATATTTCTTCTAATCCCGCTTAATCCATCAAATTCCCTCGATATCATTCCAAAACACTGATATGGATTAAGAGAAATTTAGGTGAATTAAGAGTGATTTGAGTGGATATCCGAAGATTTAATTGAATATCTGAAATATTCAAGGATTTGGACGAATATTAGGATATCTGGGGTATTCGATATTTATAGGAATTATGAAGGATTTCTTGTGGGAAAGTAGATTTGAATCTTAAAAGTTCAAAATATGACCGAATTATAAAAAATCCAATAGAGTCACTTTTTTGTATGGTTGACCCAGTTAGGACCCAGAGATGTAGGACCCAGAGTGGCGTCTCAAATATAGCCACTGTACTCAGTATATCAACGTTCATGTGTATATACAGGGTGACCCAAAAGAAACCGGACACAGGATTTATGCCATAACTTTATTCAAATTAAAGATAATGAGATCAAATAATGATGAAATTATAGAGAACTAAATGGAGAATAAAATAAAAAAAATCTTTTAGAATTTTCCCTATTCTACTTTGAGATAAGGTTAAAGGATAGTGCGAAAAATTATTGCTCCAGGTCGCACCTTTTTTTGGGATATTTTGCTTATAACATTAGAACAGATCTTAGGAATTAAATAAAATTTTTGTGGTATATAGAGTAATCCTTTATCTATAGAAATTATAAAGCAAAAAATTTTTTAGACTAACGCTTAAAGAGATATTCGATTGCGCATAACCCTCCCAAAATGAGAGAATCGCATTTCCCCCAAAACTGATTTACATATACTCAGAGCCATCCATGTAGGAGTTGGTGTTTTAATCTTTCAGATTTGTCCGGTTCGCTAATGATCTTAATTAAATTCCGTTGAGATCATCCCGTTTGGATTTCTCCTTTCTGAGATACAGAAAATAAAATTTTGGGGGGAAAATTTTGATATGGTGTACCTAAAATTACATAACTTTCTTAATCCTTAATCAAAAAATCTTAAATTTTACTATGTGATAGAGAAATAAATGAGCTACAAAATAAACTTGGAATTATCTAAAAATCATATGAACAAAAAAAGTTACAAAGGATAGAAAAGTGTCCGGTTTCTTTTGGGTCACCCTGTATAATATTGAAACATGGGGAATTGTGAAACTGGTGGAATATTGAAGCTGGGGGAATGAAGGGGCATTGTGAAGCAGGCGGAATATTGACAAGATCCGTATATTGCTGTTGACGGATCTTAATTTGAATTGTTTTGTTATGCTAGCGGAGTCACACGAGCGCCTGTTTGTATCCTATCAGGTGCACCTATTAGATATTGTTTGATAATGCTTTGTTAAATGTTTTGGTAATGAGTAATGTTTTAATGCTGGTCAATGTTTTGATAATCGGGTTTTTCTGATTATGATTTGATTAGGGCCAATTTTGAGGTTGTGACAAGTTGATTTGGAGTTTGTTTTTTTGGTTTGTTTTGTTTTGCTAGCGGGGTGGGGCGGCCGAAGGCCGACCAACTCCGCTAGTTTTATTGAAAATGGAGGGATCTGGGAGGATTAAGCGGTCAGATATTTAATTATAAAGATGAGGATTGTTACTATAATTCGAAGAGCAAATTTTGTAATATTTTTTATATTTTTAAATGGGGGCCGTACTATTTGGGGGGCCGTACTAATTGAGGGGGCCGTACTATTTTTCAACCCTCATCTAAAGGGCCGTACTAATAGAGGGGGCCGTACTAATTGAGGGGGCCGTACTATTTGAGGAAATACGGTAATTAAAATTAAAATACAAAAAATGAAACACTAAAGAGTTTTTCCGGATTTGTTTTATAGGAACAGTTTCTTTTCAGGAAAGCTAAAATAAAATAGTACATGTTCCGGAAAATTTCGGAAGGTTTATATAAAATATATTCTTTTCCGGAAAATTAATAAAAATATATTATTTCCGGAAAGTCTATATAAAATACGGGTTCCGGAATTTTTCCGGAAATTATATACAAAATACATATATTCTTTTCCGGAAATTAGTATAAAATAAAGATTCCGGAAAGTATATACAAAATACATTCTTTTCCGGAAAATTAATATAAAATACATCTTTTCCGGAACGTTAGTATAAAATTATTTCTTTCCGGAAAAATTTATAAAATATAAATTTTTCCGGAATTTATTATATTATAAAATAATTCTTTTCCTGAAAATTAATATAAAACACATTCTTTTCCGGAAAGTAGTATAAAATTATTTCTTTCCTGAAGGTTTATATAAAATATAAAAGTTTCCGGAATCTATTATAAAATACATCCTTTCCGGAAACTTAAATATAAAATATAAATTTTTCCGGAATCTATCATAAAACACATTTATTTTCCGGAAGGTTTATATAAAAATATATTCCTTCCGGAAAATTAATATAAAATACATTCCTTTCCGGAAAGTAGTAGTATAAAATTATTTCTTTCCGGAAAATTTATATAAAATATAAAAGTTTCCGGAATCTATTATAAAACACATCCTTTCCGGAAAACGAATATAAACCACATTTATTTCCGGAAACTATATAAACACATTTTTTCCGGAAGGTTTATATAAAAATACATTCCTTCCGGAAAATTAATATAAAATACATTATTTTCCGGAAAGTAGTAGTATAAAATTATTTCTTTCCGGAAAATTAATATAAAATACATTCCTTTCCGGAAAGTAGTAGTATAAAATTATTTCTTTCCGGAAAATTAATATAAAATACATTCCTTTCCGGAAAGTAGTAGTATAAAATTATTTCTTTCCGGAAAATTAATATAAAATACATTCCTTTCCGGAAAGTAGTAGTATAAAATTATTTCTTTCCGGAAAATTAATATAAAATACATTATTTTCCGGAAAGTAGTAGTATAAAATTATTTCTTTCCGGAAAATTAATATAAAATACATTCCTTTCCGGAAAGTAGTAGTATAAAATTATTTCTTTCCGGAAAATTAATATAAAATACATTATTTTCCGGAAAGTAGTAGTATAAAATTATTTCTTTCCGGAAAATTAATATAAAATACATTCCTTTCCGGAAAGTAGTAGTATAAAATTATTTCTTTCCGGAAAATTAATATAAAATACATTCCTTTCCGGAAAGTAGTAGTATAAAATTATTTCTTTCCGGAAAATTAATATAAAATACATTCCTTTCCGGAAAGTAGTAGTATAAAATTATTTCTTTCCGGAAAATTAATATAAAATACATTATTTTCCGGAAAGTAGTAGTATAAAATTATTTCTTTCCGGAAAATTAATATAAAATACATTCCTTTCCGGAAAGTAGTAGTATAAAATTATTTCTTTCCGGAAAATTAATATAAAATACATTCCTTTCCGGAAAGTAGTAGTATAAAATTATTTCTTTCCTGAAAGTTTATATAAAACACATCTTTTCCGGAAACTTTTATATAAAATACATATATTTCAATAAAACTTTGTGTTTAATTTTAAAATAAAAACCGGAAAAGTTGGAAAATACAAATAATGACAAGTTTATTTATATTTAAGAGAAATAAACCAAAAGTTTAGATTACACAACCCTTCCCCCACATATGATTAAAATTTTACAATTTTCAAAAGAAAATAAAATTGAAAAGAATTATTCACAGTTGCTATTTTTATTTTGGACAATTTTTTAAATAAAATAGTTTTGCACATTAAAATCGATTCAGAAATTTGGTGGTGGACGAAATGGGGGGAGAAAATAAAAATGTTTCGGTCATTGAATGGGGGAAGGTTGACTGAATTGGAATCGGGTGGATTTTGTTTTTAAATGCTTTCCGGATGTTGACAAGTGAGAGAATAAATAAATATATATTATTTAATGTTTTTGTGGAGGAGAGAAAATTTATTTTTATTTTCCCCCCACTGGATCAACTTTTTATTTTTAAATAAATTGGCAAGAGATCAGCTTTTGAGTAACCCAACCAAAAGTCATTTAAATTTAAAAATATGAAAATTTTATTTTTAAACCTGTTCAGAGTTGATCTATAGGCATTTTAATGTTTTTGGGGTGATTCATTTAAAAGGAAGAATTTTGAAGATGAGACGATGTTTTATAAGGAAGATGAATAATTTTTCAAAAGAATTTTTGAAAAAGTTGAGGAATAAAAAAATATTTTTTGAAAAGAGAACACAGAACGGAAGGAAGAAGAAAGCGGAAATAGAAGTCAGAACGGAAGAATGGAAAGCCCCGTTATCTGGAAGGCCCTGTTACCAAGATCCAAATTAGCCTATAAAAAAATGTGATTAGCTATCTTGGGTAAGGTAGTAGGGCTTAACTAGCTAGAGCTAGGTAACACTAACAAGGAACCATCGTTTACTGTGACTCCGAATTTGATATATTTTTTTATCTATTCAAAATAAATCCCTGTTATCTATCCAAAATCCAAAGTAGTCTAAAAATGTGATCAAATATGTTATTAACTAGCTAGAGCTAGGTAGTACTAACAAAGAACCATCGCTTACTATTACTGTGAATCTGATATATTTCTTGGTACCATTCGATAGAGCACCATCGACTTTCTATTTTGAAGTGATGTGGGTTTTCTTGCAAAATGAGCTTGGGACGAGTTATGACCGTTCAAAGTTTCAGTCCTTCTTCCCCAAAAAAATTCGCAATAATTCCACAGATTTTTATCAAAAATATTTTAAAAATAAAAATATTTTATTTATTCATCTGTCAGCAATTGACCCTTTTTCGCTCAAGAATCGACTAGTTTTTATTTTTATTTTATTTTTTTAACCCACCCCGAGAGTGGTCAATTTATAACCACACACATAAAATTCCTTCCTTCGGACTTTTCTTTGTTTAATAAAAGAGAGGGCAACTTTATATCCCCTATTATATCCTCTATAAAGCATCTGAGTAATTAAAATAAAAATAAATTAAATATATTATTTTATGACTTTTGATTAAGGCAACATTGATATCCGATAAGAGAGAGAGAAAAGTTGCGGATAGTAAAAAAGTGTCCGCATTTTTTGTCCACATTATAAAAACATGTCCGCAATTTTTTAGCATGTCCGCAAATTTTTAAAATTATCCTCAAATTTTTTGACTCGTCCGCATTTTAAAAAGACATACCGCAATTTTCTGCATGTCCGCATCTTTAAAAACACCTCCGCAATGTCCGCAATAACATGTCCGCAATTTTTTTAAACAAGTCCGCAAATTTTTTAAAGATATGTCCGCAATTTTTTTTACATGTCCGCAATAACATGTCCGCATTTTTTAAAAACATGTTCGCAAATTTTTTTAACATGTCCTCATTTTTTTATGATCCGCAAGGGTCGGCTCGCCCATTGATCTATAGCTATTATAAATAAAATAGTAAATCTTTATCTAACAAATTTTATAGTTAAAAATGCAACTAAAATACTTAATAAAAACTGGATTGAATTAGTTTAATATTAAACATAAGGGGATAATAAAATAAATAATCTCAAATACCCGGAACCCCTGCAAAATATTTATGGGGAAATTTATTTATTTATTTATTTATTTATTTATTTATTTATTTATTCTGAGCAACCACAGGTACAAATAATTGTACTCTTACGTGGAAATACAATAAAGGCGATAAAATTAATAAAAAAAAATTAAATTACAAAAAATTTAAAAAAAATAAATTAAAAGGTAATTTGGTCAATGGGCTAAGTCAAAGTATCATAAAATTATTAAAAAAAAAAAAATAAATTTATATATTAATAGTATAGGATAGGAGCCATTCAAAGTTAGTTACTGAACTAGGGTGTCAATACTTTTCTTAAAATTTTTAATGTTGGATAACTTTGTAATTTCAGCAGGCAAACTATTCCATTTAAGTATCATTCTAATAAAGAAATCTTGCTTATTTCTAAAATCATATTTTGAATTAAGTATAAAATGCGGTTTTCGGCTACAGCGCTTAGAAAAAGTAAAGAAATCGGTAGGAATAAGATTAGTGGTATTCTTAATAATTTTAAAGACCATGCATAAATCGGCAGACGCCCTTCTACTGCTCAACTGTCTAAGCTGGCAAACATTAAGTCTTTCTGGATAAGGTCGGGGTGCTAAGCCACATTTCTTAAGAATAACTCTCGTAAACATTTTTTGGACCTTTTCTATTTTAATTATCTCCTTATTATTTTGCGGACTCCAAACTTGAGATGCATATTCCAAATTTGGCCTAATATATATTTTATAGATGAGAACCCATATTTTTAATATTCGGACTTTAATAAATTTAAAAAATAGATGTATTAAGGAGTATGTCTTTTTAATTATGTAATCAATATGGAATGAGAAAGAAAAATTATTATCAATTATAACTCCTAAATCTCTAATGCAATCGGCTACCTGAATTACTTTATCGTTTAATAAATAAGATTGTGAAGAGTTATTGTTGCCAATATGTAATACCGAACATTTATTAATTGAAATTTCCATGTGGTTTTCTTTAGTCCAGGTTTCAATCGATTTAAGAGCCTTTTCTAAATAGTCCCTATTTGAGTCATTATTGTGGATAACATATAGTTTAATATCATCGGCGTACATTTTAATATGAACGTTTTCTGGTATATAATTTGGGAGATCATTGATAAATATTAGAAACAATAACGGACCTAAAACACTCCCTTGGGGAACGCCTGATGGAACAGAAAAATAATCGGAAAATTTACTACCTATTTTGATCCGAAAGCTACGATCAGTAAGAAAATTATAGATAAATTTATAGATTTTACCACCAATTCCTAAGGAAGATATCTTTTCAAGTAATTTGCCGATTGGTACAGTATCGAATGCTTTAGATAGATCAATATATATAACATCGACACACTTATTTGTAAGCCTAGCATTATATAGCTCATGATACATAGAAAGAAGCTGAGTTGTAGTCGACCGACCTCCTAAAAATCCAAATTGATAAAATATACAATTTTATGTAATCATGAATTAAGAGGATATGGAGGGGGTATTGAGGGATTTATGGGGTTAAGAAGGATATAGATGGATCAAGAGGATATGGAGGTGATAGTGAAGGACTTAGGAAAATTAAGAGGGATTAATTTCAAAATTGGAAAAGTTTATTTTTTGCTGTTGCCGTTCGGCAATTACCGGGCCCGCAGGCGTCTTATTTACCAATAAGATTTCCAAATAATTTTCCAATTCCAAAATAATTTATTCTTCGAACCGAAGGTAAATTAAAGTGGTGAATTAACAATACAATAAAATATACAATTTTATGTAATAAATAAACAAAGAGTGATTAACTAACTAACCACTGACTGGGAAGAAGCCGCTAAAAACTGACTAAGAACCGCTTGGGGGAAAAAAACCGCTTAATAACTATTTAAAAGCGATATTTATATGGGGACGCACTTAAGCTATTCTTCGCCCCTAACGGCGATTTTATCTCTTTTCTCATGAGAAGTGTATAAGGAAAAGGATCGAAGTCCAAAGAAATGGAAATAAAATATTAAAATAATAATGGGGCTGAGTCACCGGGATTTAGACTTTTTAATAATAAAAGCCAACTTCGACATCCTCCCCCTTTTTAAAGAACGAGTTTAAGATTGATGTCCGGGTTTTTACTAACAAAAACCCAACTTTAACATCCTCCCCATTTTTTAGAGAAAGTGCTTAAAATTAATGTCTGGGATTTTTCTAACAAAACCCAACTTTGACATCTTCCCCGTTTATTTAAAAAGTAGTAATGTGCATTCTTTTAAGGAGTATGTTTGGTACTTCAATTTTAGTTCGTGCATGGGCCCCCTTTGATATCTATATCCAGGTTATGGCACAAAGTCACGACATTTATGAAGTTCGTGTTTTTCTTTATTTTCTTTTTCGGGGTTAAGTCTCTTTTGAATAAAACATTATTATTTTCCCTCAAAATCAAAAGCGAACTCAGGGATTAGGTATTCAAAAAATTAGAACGCCACTAACGGCCGTATTTAATTTTCAAGTATGGGTTAAATTAGCCCCTAACGGCTGTGTACATTGCCTAAGAAATCAAATACAATTAAATTTGAAATTAGAAAAATTTTTAAAACATATTAAAATCATATTTTTTCTTTTTCATCTTCTTTCATTTTCTTCGACAAATTGATTTCCTGGCATCGGCGTTCAAAGTTTCATGTCTAGTTTGCTACATGCAATTGACCAATCCATAAGCACTTCTTGATCCATCCATATTGTTACCTATAAGATTGTTGGCTCTAACGCCAAATATTTTGTCTTGGTTGGTCAATATCTCTGGGACATTAGTTTGAGGATTCAAGGACAATTCTTTTGATTTGTATCTACTTGGGTAAAATGTTCTGGAGGCGTATGAATATTTTAAGCTCCCTAACGAGCATTGTTTTTCTTTTGTGCCCATATAATTTTCTATCGAGTTATATTGTCTGGAAGGATAAAATTCTCGGGGGCATTTGTGTTTTATAGCACCATCTAACTGGTACTTTTTCGGATTATTCTGACGTGGGAGTGAATGGGATTCACTATAAAGGTTAAGAATTTTATTTTCACCTTCTAACAGGTGTCTTTTCCTTTGGTTTTCTAGGACCATGGCTTCATTGGTATGTTCCTCTTCCTTAAAGTGGGTTTCATTTGTGCCCCGGGTGATTAGAGATGTCCCCATAGTTGCAAATTTAATTAACAGTGAGGGGATTTGTTGGGGCTCAGGGATGGTTGTAATGTTTTTCAAACTGGGCACTTCTATGCCTTCTAACGGCACAATCCAAATTATTTTTCTCAAAACTTTCAGGGTATTTGCAACTCTTAGGACTTCCAACAGTCCTTTATCAATTGTTTCTTTCCAGACAACTATAGTGTCTACTTGCCCTGATATTAAGATTTGTTTACGGAATATTTGCGAGTCCCACGAGGATGGTTCGAACACCAAACCTCTCAATTTTTCTTTTCTTAAAATATTTCGGAGCTCTAACGCTCTCTTGTTACAAATGAATAGAAGCGGATAAGTAGCCTCTAACGGCTTTTTAAAATTTGCCATTCTTTGTTGCGCTCTAACGCGCTTATTCTTGGTGGGACTAAAATTTTCATTTAGTTTCCGTCTAACCGGCATTTCTTTATTAACCTTCTTAGTTAATTCTTTATCCTTACCACTCAGTTCATCACCTTGAATGGTCTTTATACTCCTTTTTAATATTTTAGGATAGGCTTTTAAGCTTCTTTCTACTCTCTCTAATTTAGTTTGTGGCCTTTTCTTCCAAATTATTTCAGCAAAATCTTCCGTTTGCGACCCAACTCGCTTAGCTATTGGATAAAGATTAAAAATGCAATTTTCGGGGCGAGATTCTTTGGGTTCCAATGCGGTATTGGGTTCTGGTTTCTCATAACTCTTTTTGTTTGCCCCGGATGAGCAAGGATTTGCGCGAAATATCTTAACTTCTGTTTTATTGAGAATTCCACCTACAAATTGCGTGGAAATTATATCTCTCTGAATAGCACTGGCACTAACGCCTGTCGTTATTCTTTCTGGAGAGTCTTCTTTGACCTGTCTCTCACATAAGGCTTCATGGTGGTCTGTCTTACCACATATTAAGCATCTATGTCGAGGACTGGGACATTCGTTAGCGTAATGTCTTTTTCTGAGGCATTTGAAACATAGGCTTCTTTCTAAGGCCTTGTTTTTCCTTTCTTCGGCAGTCCTAACACTGCGGCAATTAAAAGGTGTGTGGGGCTTATCACAAAATTCGCAAGGAAATCGAGAAGGGCTCTTACTTTCGGGACTACTAAAATTGCTTTTTCGATACGATGATCCTTCTCTTGGCTCTTGTCTTGATTTTCTGGGATTTTGAGGCCTTTGATTACTGATTGGATTCCATGATCCTGGATTTTCCTGCATCCGTCTATTGGATTCTAGCCTTGTATTAGAATCCTTTGCTTCTCTAACTCTAGGTCTTTCGACTCTTGGTGAGAAATATTTACTGGAGCCTCTGTCCGAGTAATTTAAGGCAAAATTCATTGTAGTTTCTTCTTTATATTTGTCCCTAACGACATTTTTTGTGGGTTGTTTCACTTCCATTCTATTTCTTATTTGAGCTAAAGCACGCCCTAATGCGTTTCGGAACTTTGCGGTATTCCAATCTTCATTATCCTCTTTATCTTTAATTGTGAAATACTTGTCCAATACTTCTGACGATATTTTTCCTTCTAAGGTCATGAAGTAAGGAGCTGTGTCCACATTTTGTTTCAGGGATTGAAGTTGTCGACAAAGCTTTTCGATGCGCAGATATAGCTTTTCATCATCTTCAAAGTCTTCGCTTTGGGGTAAGTTAAGTAGTTCATGGTTTAGGGACCTGACTAGTTTTCTTTCACTACCAAATTTTTCTAATAATAAGTCGATGGCAGTGTCGTATCCTTCGTGTGTCATCGTCAGACCTCCTAACAGGTCTTTTGCTTCTCCTTCTAAAATTGAGTCCAAAATATTAAATTTTTCCACATGACTTATAGTGGGGTCATCATGGATAAGAACTCGGTAGGTTTCCCAAAAACTGCACCATTCTTCTATGTTCCCATTAAATCTTCTTAATTTTATATGGGGTCTTTGTAATTTCTGGTTAAATGCAGGAGCTGGGGTATTTCTGTTAACTTCAGAAATTTCGCTTGTTGATTCATCCATGTTCATTTGTAAATCTAGTCTTTGACATAGATCTAACTTCTTATTTTTCCACTCTTCAAATTTTAATTTTCCTGCTTCTGTTAAGGCTCTAACGCCTAATTCTCCTTTAGTGGTTTGCCATATTGCTTCTCGTTGCTCCCTTTGAGCTTGAGTCATTTTCGAAATTTCATTAGCTGCCCTTTCGCTAATTTCTTGAAATTTTTGCAGGGTTTCTTCTAACCTGTCCAAAGTGTCGTTCGTGTAGTATAACTGTCTTCTTAACTGGTTAGGGGTTGCAGTCTGCCCTAACGCAGAAGGTATTTGTCTATTTAAATAAATTTTCACGCTGTCAGCTAGCATTTCTAGCTGAGTGATGGTGGGGGCCGTCATTTTTCCACCAAATTTAATTTTTCTTCGAGTTTTCTAACAAACTCTGGGGTTTATTTCCAATCTCTTCAACCAAACAAAAAGATTTCTCTTTAAGATTTCCCAACAAATCTAAAGAAATTTCTGGGCTTTTTTCTTGTAGGTCTCTTTTGACAGCTTGTTCAGATTCCAAACTATTCTAACAAATAGTGGAATTGTTGAATCTAGTGTGATGAAGAGTACCTGTTTCTTTAAAGACCAAAAAATTTGTTTAAATTTTTAAAATCTTATATGAAAAATTTTTGCTGAAGATTAAAATAAAATTTTTATTTTTCCCTAACGAAATTTTAAATTTTATTTAAAAACTTGAGCTTTTCCCTTGAAAATCTCCGAAAATTTGTTTGAAAAGTGGAGGCCTTCCTCCCACTTTCAAAAGTTTAAAAACTAAAAACTCTAG